CCCAAATTTAATTTAAACCTAAATATAAAAATTAAAAATTTTAATTTGTTTAAAATTAAGTAAATAATTTTAAATTCTTGGTTAATTAAATTAACTTAATTAATAATTAATATGTAATAGTTAAATAAAAAAGTAACAAATTAATAGTTTGGTTTCATGACCTACATGCAGAACCGCGCACTCTTGTCTCTTCGAACCCCGCGGAAGCGACCAAGAACGGTCACCCGGCAGCGGTCCCGCGCGTGGCGGTCTAGCACCGCACACGCGGCCGTCGGTGGGCTGGGACCTGGAGGTGGATTGCAGATAGGACAAGCCGCTCGGTCCCGGAAATTAATTTTTTTTCTTGACATTCTGGCGCTTTAAAATTGACATAAATATTTTTCCAGCAGAAAATCTTCAAAATTTTCCGAAATTGTTTCCGACAAATATATTTTGCCAAGTCCTTTCCAACGCACTTGACCCGGAAAATATTCTTTCAAAATCCCGTCCAGAAAACAAAAATTTCTGGTCTATTTTCTATTTCCGACGAAAAACAGCCAAAAAATACGTTTCCTTATTAACATTCACACGAGAAGATAAATCTTAATGTCTTAGCTTTAATGAAAACCAATCACACATACAATATAATAAAGGAGAAGGTCATACTCATAAGAGTATACTTAATTCTATGTGAAATCTTTAAAAAAAAAGGAGGAGAAAAAATACCAAGGTAACCTATGAAAATATATTATAAAGTGTTTGTAGCACAATGTCCGAACATATACTCCAGCCGATCGTTAGCTTGGGGACCATAGTTGCATGTGACCATGTTGCCTCCGGGAAGAACCAAAAAATGAGGATAAGATGCATCTAGGCAGTAGTCAGCGACAATGATGATTATGCGACTACTGTCGATGGTAACATTCTCTCGTTTTCTTTGTACCCATGGGTTAAGAGCTCTCATGGTATTATGGCATCATGTAAGCTAGATAATTTATATTTAATTTAGTATATAATATAATAAAATTTTTGGAATCATTTTAATTAAATAAAATATATGATATTTTAAATTAATTTAATATTTAATTAAATATTTTATATAAAAAAATATTTAAATATATTATTAGTTGAACCGACCGGTTCTTAAGAAACGGACCGGTTCAACGATCGGCCGGTTCAAGCCGGTTCAACCTGCGGTTCAAACCGGTTTTGACCGGTTCGTTGTCAGTCCGGTTCTTAGGGAAGACCGAACCGGCCGGACCGGTCCGATCCGGTTTTCAAAACCATGAAAGGGACCTTAGTCGATGATTAGTAAATTTTTATAAAGTCTAATAACATAAGGACAAAAAAAGGTCTAATAACAAAAGGACAATTAGTAAAATATTGACGAACATAATATTACAAGTTCTAATAACATAAGGGTGAGCGATCGATTTGGCCCAGCCGTGCATTCGTTTTATATTCGGGACTCTTCGTCTTGCTTTAAATTTTCTTCTTCCTCTCCGCCATCTCCTCCGGTAGGTATCTTCTCTAATTATTTTAGCCTCTTCAGATTTTTAACGGTTCTCCTACAATTGCAGATATGCCTAGTACTGAATTTCTCGGTAAGCATTCTTCTACTACTCATCTCCTTCGCCTCTCATTGATATCAAATCTTTTATTTCACTGTCAAACTGGTTGAAATGTCTATTAGAGGCGAAAAATTGGTTAAACTTCATGCTGGTCGGAATCTCCATTAGAGGGCAATAAAATGGTTAAATTGCTTACATTTGAAATGCATTGATTCTCATCCACCTAACTACTCTCATTGATTTTTCCCAAGCTCTGCCCTGATTTTCATTTTGTTGTTTCGATTGAGCTCTCTACTTTTCTTGCTCTAAAAAATAGGTAATTATCTTAATTTATATTTGTCAAATATTTAATAAATTTATGTTTTCATATGTGCGCTATGTTTTTTTTTTTTAAGTTTCATGATGATATTTTTTTTATTGCTTTTGCTATTTTTACTGTCGTACAACATAAAATATATAGATTTTGCTATGATTCTATAAATTTAATTGTGGCAATTGGTGTCCTCATTTGATTCATGAGCTTGCTTGGCTTCTTCAATTGTTAGAACAATGATTTAAGTTTTCTTTGTTGGTTTTAATGAGAAGGGGAAACTCTTTGGCTGTAGAAGGGGCGACTTAATTATGCAATGGGTATTTGATGATTTTTCACTCTACTCTTATTGCTTCAAAAAATAGGTAATATATAATATTCTTTATAAATTTATGTTTCTCAATTCTTTTTATAAATTTATACTCGCATATATGTGCTAATTACTTTTATATATTAGGATTTTTATATAAGTTTTATGAATTGTTTATTTGTATACATCTTCAATTATCTCATTCTCTTCTATTTTCTTATATTAAATCTTAGACTTGCATTGTATTCTAAATCACCAAATCAAATATTTATTTGATTTGGTGATTTGTAATCCTTCTCGTAGTTGTTATTAAATGCATACTAACATCTATAATTTGATTATAACAGTCGTATTATTTTATATTTAAAACTTCAATTATTGCAAATGCTTGGATATATAGAAGAGTAAATTACTAAATTGTTGTTTCTTTTGTATGCTTTTTAGTTGATTTATGAACCTAATTATATTTATCCTTATTGCTCATCATTGGAAATTTTAATGAGATAAGTGTACATTTGTTTGCTTATTCTATGACATGACTCTACCATCTCAATTCATTTCTAGGACGTGCGCTTTGTGCACGTGCATTTATACGAGTATATATAAGTGTATGGTTTGAAATAAATCAAATACAATGTCAAAATTTCGTTCATTTGGGATTTGCCATTTTGTTCAATTTCAGTGTATTTGAAATTCCTCATACTTAGATAAATTCCAAATACATAATGAATTTATCATCATTGCCGCTGCCCGTTGTCAGCCACATCCATTGTTGGAGGCTATCGCACACCTCTGGTCACCGCTACCAACGAGCATTTTCATTGCCACCATCATCACCATCACCAACAGCCACCAACCACCACTATTGCTACTCCATCCCTAGTCTCCCCCGTCGGCCAACATCGTCCACCATCATCTTCTCTGCTAGTGTCAGTACCGATTGCCGCATTCTTTTCACTTTGAGCAAAACAAAAAAGATAATTTTATGCATTCTTTTTACACTTATTTATTTTATAGTGTATTCCTTATCTGGTCACCGCTGCCAACGAGCATTTTCGTTGCCACCATCATCACCACCACCAACAGCCACCAACCACCACTATTGCTACTCCACCCCTAGTCTCCCCCCGTCGGCCAACATCGTCCACCATCATCTTCTCTATCAGTGTCAGTACCGATTGCCACATTCTTTTCACTTTGAGCAAAACAAAAAAGATAATTTTATGCGTTATTTTTACACTAATTTATTTTATAGTGTATTCCTTATACATTATATTTTTTTTATATCATTTTTTTTTAGTAAAACAAATAACTCCTAAAAAAAAGCCCAACAAGAAAACCTATTACTTAAGCTTAGGATACATTGGTTAAAAACGAAGAAAAAAAGACTCAAACATGTCTACGATTCAAGGAAAGAACAAACCAACAATTGTCAATACTTCTAGATCGTTCCTAATGATCCAACGGCCAATATTCCATCAGATCGGGGTGTTTTCATCAAATCGTGATCACAAAAAACGAACGGTCAGATTTGTATTTACGTGCTTCACGGCTACTCTATTTATACCCCGACTCCATTCTTTTCTTTTCCGAAGCCAGAGAGATTATTCTTGTCGTTTCGGAGATTTCGTTTCTCTTCTTGGATTCGACTCTTGCGACTCAGATCAGATGGCGAACCAGGGGGAGGCTTCTTCTTCAGATCCGTAAGAACTAACTACGATCAACTAACTACGATCTGTTTTGTTTGAGTTTTCGTTGTGTAATCTTCTGGCCATGATGTGTTTTTGATGTTTTTTTTTCCGTATGGATTGGGGGAAATTTAGAAAATTGGTGAAGAAGGATTTCAGCACCGCGATTCTGGAGAGGAAGAAATCTCCGAACCGTTTGGTTGTGGATGAGGCTATCAATGATGATAACTCAGTTGTTTCGATGCACCCTGAGACCATGGAGAAGCTGCAGCTCTTCAGAGGTGATACTATCCTGTTGAAGGTAATGATTTATTTCATTCTTTACTTGTTAGTTAATTTATAGTTGATTAGGATATGGAATTAGGGTTTGACTAAGAACCGAGAGATCTGGGGTTTTGGGGGTTGAATGTTTTAGGTTTGAGGATGATTCCCGCACTGTTGGTTCCTGCCAAGCAGTTTCCTCTATTTTAGAAGAACGATTTGTATGTTTTCTCCCCTCAAGACGAGTTTCACTAAAATCAAGGCAAAAAATCCTAAATATTGCTTAACCTGATTCCACCGCAAACCTCAAATCCAGCTCCACTTAACTCTTTTCGTTGTTTACTGAATTCTAGTATATTTGAGCTCTTATGGTTAGATTGAAATGTCCTTTGACAAATTGACCGCTTTACTCTAGTCTAGATCGTTAGAGTTGTAGTCTAGCTTATAAAATAAGGGAGACATATCACCAAAATATCCCCTAATTGCAAAACTACTACCCATTGTAAAAGCATTTAACTATCAAATCTTTGTGTTTGTGCAATAATTGAACATTTAATACGGCATCAACAACAATAACATCAAGCCTTCATCCCATTATGTGGGTTTGGCTACGTGAATCCTCTTTCTCCATTGTGTCATGTATAGAGTCAAATTCTCATTTAAATTTAATAAAAATGTCATTTCTAATATTTTATAGCTAAGTCTTTTTTAGTCTACCTCTATCTTTATGAACGGTCAAATCTAATACATATGCTCTCTGATCATTAGAAAGTTGTTGTTTTATGTGTTCAAATCATTTAAGGCAACTCTCTCTAATCTTATTCGTCATTGGTGCTATTCCAATCATTTCACATTCTATCTATAAGAGTCAAGTCACTCATCCTCCTGAGCATCCTCATCTCTGCTGCACTTAGCTTAATTTTATTCCTTTTTTTAATGGCCAACATTTTGCGCCATAAAGCATTGCTAATCTCACCACCATCTTATAGTATTTTACCTTAAGTTTGAGGGGTGCTTTTCTATCACACAAAACGCCTGATGCATTCCTCCACTTCAACCATCCAATTTGAATACTACTAATAATATGTTCATCTATTTCACCATCATTCTAAACAATCGACCCACGATATCTAAAACATGTATTCTTATTAATGATCTGATCGCCCAAAGTCATAATTCCCCTACTAGATCAATTACCATTAAAATTATACTATTTTAGATCTACTTAACCAAAAAACCTTTAGACTCTAAAGTTGACCTCCATAATTTAAGTTTTCTTTCAACTCTCTCTTTAATCTTATCAACAAGAAACATGCACGAGGGAATATCTTCTTGTAAATATCTAGTAAGAACATCAATGACTAAAGCAAAAAGAGATGTGCTTAAAGATGATCTTGGATATAATCCAACTGAAATAGAAAAATACTTGATCAAACCATCTTGTGTTTGAACACAAGTAACAACTCTTGCATACATATCTTTAATGATTTTAATATAAGCATTATTAACTCTTCTTTTCTAGAACTCTCCAGAGAACTTCTTCGGAACTTTCTCATATTCTTTCTCTAAATCAATAAATATCATATGTACATCCTCTTTATTCTCTCTATACTTCACCATTAAACCTTTCAATAAATGTATAACTTTAATAGTAGACCTACCTGGCATGAATCCAAATTGATTTTAAGAAACATTAATATCATGTCGTAACCTATGCTCAATAACTCTCTTTCATAGTTTTAAAGTATGACACATTAACTTAATTCCTCTAAAATTTACATACTTTTGTGCATCATATTTATTCTTAAAAATAGGAATCAATACACTCCACCACTCATATGATATCTTTTGTCTTTAAAATAATATTGAAAAGTTTTGCAAGTTAATAAATTTCTTCATCTCTTAAGCATTTTTCACACCTCTATTGGAATATCATCAGTTCCAATTGCTTTTTCACGCTTCATTTTTTTAAGGCATCTCTAACTTCAGTTTTACTAATATTAAGATAAAAAAAATTTCTACTTTCATTTTGGTTGCTAAGGTCATTAAAGTCAATCATATTCTTATAATTTTCATTGAAAATCTTATTGAAATATCTCATCCCTTTTATTGAATATCCTCTTCTAATAAAATTCTTTTTTATTTTACACTTAATGCACTTCACTTGAATTAAATCTTTCTCGTATCTATTTGTTTGGCTATCTTATAAATACATCTTTCATCTTCCATATTATCTAATCTATTATATAAATCATTAAAAGTTAAATTTTTCGTATTATTTATTGCTCTCTTAGTTCCTTACGAGCCCTTTATATCTCTCGTAATTTTTCAAGCTTTTATATTCAAACTAATTTTTTTAACAAATGTTTTATTTTCTTATCTTTTCTTGCACATTTTAATTCTATCACCAACTATTTTTTTATTATTAGGGGCGTTTCCTTTGGATATTTCAAGCATATACTTTACAACATTTATAATATCACTAGATATTTTTTTCACATAACATCAGCTTCCGCACACACAAATAAAATCTTAAGATTTTAAATCTTATTCTAATAATATTTTTGTTAGTATTTTTTTAAATGCTCTCATCTAATCTTTGGATAATATTACTTTATTTTTCATATTCAGTCAGTTCATCTTAAAGTCCAAAACTAATAAGCGATGTTGGGTACATAAAATTTCGCTCGGAATAACTGTACAATCTTTGTAATTTTAATTATTTATTTTTCTTATAAGAAAATAATCAATCGTAGTATTAGTATATCTATTTTTATAAGTGATGATGTGTTCCACTCTTTTTTTAAATAATATATTAGCAATTACAAAATCATAAGCTAGAATAAAATCTAATCTGAGTCAAACCTATAGCCAACATGAATGCTCTTAAAGTTTTCTATCACTCTACCAATATTTTTTTTTAAATCACTTTCAATAAAAAATATTTCTTCAAGAGGTATATTTTATATTAATTCTTTTTAAATCATTAAATTTTTTTAATTTTGAGCATATGTCCAAATCTACTTGAGGAATATAAGCACTTACAATGTTAATAATCTTAGCTTCAACAACAATCTTTAAAATGATAATTTTATCTTTAATTATATTAATTTCTACAACATTATCCTTCACTTTTATATATAATCACACCTACACCATTTCGAGTATGACTCATACTCAAATACCATAATTTAAAATCTAAATTGTCCATCACTTCAGCCTTCTTTTCAACCCATTTAATTTTCTGAATGCATATAATATTTTTTTTTCCTATGAATCATAATATTTACTAGTTCCATTAATTTGCTTTTAAGACAACATATATTCTAAGTTCCTATCATAATCTTAGTTTCATGGGCTAGCTTCTTTGCCCACATCCGTCCATGATGTGGGAACTCTTGCTTATTTAACATTGTACTTTGGTGTCAGTGTAGCGGCCCCCTGCACACTTCTCGCTATATTTAGGTCATACAGTGGGTCGCTTTCAGGAAACGATATAGCATTAACACAATGTATCAATTGATTCATGTCATAATTATTTAACAAGTTTTATGCTAGTTGTTGACTATTTAACGCTACCCTCTATTTTTCTCATCCAAGGCTCGGTCTGACAACAATAGTGTTAATGAAATAAAAAAATATGGGTTGGGATTTTGCTGTAAATTTGAATAATTGGTTGAAGATTTAACAATTTGAGGTAGAATGATATCCATTTTGTAAATAACCGAGAGTCCTTGGCATGCATGAAATTGGCCCTATAATTAATTAGGTGAATATGAAATCTATTAGACAAATTAGAGGTTTATTGGTGCATGGTAATTAATAAATGTTTAGGAAAATAATTTGTCTGTATAATCGTTGATCGTATGTTGATTGGGATAGTAGCATATTTTAATTAGACAACATAGGAAATTAACTTGGTGCATTAAGAATTAATATGTAAATATGTGATAGTTAACACATAGGATCTTGAATTCAAAAATTTTAGGAGCAGGCAGTAGTCACAAGGGATCAAATCACAGGGCCCTTGTGATTAGCAGATTGCCTTAGAACTGTGGTTTCTAAATGACAAACATTTGAAAGATATAATTTGCATGGTTGTGTTTTGATTTTTTGGGTTTTTCTTATTAGGTTTCTTAGGAATTCAAATGAATGGTTGGGTTCTGCATGGGTATGCAACAATTTGATATTTTTGAAGTTTCTTTCTCCCCCATAGCCATATCATGCAGGTTACATGGTTTATTAGCCCGATAGATGTACTTGGTCTTCTGGTTGAACTAAATTGAGAATGTTTGCTTGGTGTCTCTTGGGTATATTTTGTGTTTTCTGTAAATTTTTCTAATGTAAAAGCTTATTCTGTTATTGTTTATGCTTTCAGGGAAAGAAAAGGAAAGATACAATTTGCATTGCCCTTGCTGATGACTCATGTGAAGAACCTAAGATTAGGATGAACAAAGTTGTGAGATCAAATCTTAGAGTGAGACTTGGTGATGTTGTCTCGGTACACCAGTGCCAGGATGTCAAATATGGAAAGCGTGTGCACATCCTTCCAATTGATGATACCATCGAAGGCGTTACGGGCAATCTGTTTGATGCATATCTGAAACGTTAGTTATTCTCTTTGCTGTATTAAACAATTATTTTCTTCTCCATGCTTGTTTTTTTTTTTCAGCTTATTAGAACACTGCAGTCTGCTTTCTTTTGCAGTTTGATAATATATCCAGATGGCCTTTTGGTCATGTAATATTTATCACTGTATTGGAAAAAAATGTGCATCATTAGGTTAACTGACCATAAAAAGATTTTTCTTACTTTTAGGATTCAAGCTATTATGCTACATATGTTTACTTTGAGTTTTCTCTTTTTTTTTCACTAATCAGCATTATGTTTTTTTAGCCAGCTTTTTTCTTTAAATTGAGCATTTTGATACAAATTAGAAAGATGTTATGCTCCCATTCTAATGAGTTGGGGCCTAGTTGGAATGTGTTGGCCGAAGAGGGCATGTTAGATGGCTATTTTTGTTTTACAAAACAATTCAATAAGCAAAATTTATCTTCCTACTATAAAACAACACTTTCATGAGAAAAAGGCTCCCACTATAATTCTTAAAGCTTTAATTTTGTAATCTATAATCTGACCAACCCTATATTTAAAATTTTTTTAAAGTTTTTTCTTCAACTGCTTATTTCTTTTGGTTGAAATGCTTTTACAAAAAAAATGATCTTCACAAAATGAATTCCATTATGTCTGATGTTCTATCATATTAGGATTCACCTTTTTGTTAACTAGGCGTATGAGCTTCTCTATATAACCTTTTTTTGTTGTACTATGCTAGTCTATCCCGTGTATGCCAAAATACATTGGCCATATGCCTCATAATGTTGTTTTGACCTGCAAATCTTTAAACATTTCTCTACTGTTTTTGGCTGATTTTCTGCTGTGGACAGCAGTTTTACATTGGATCTACTTGGTTTTGGTGAGAAATACTTGGAAATCCAAGTGTTTCCTATCACAACCACACATATTGATTACTAATATTTGTGCTTTTGAGGCATCGTTATATGGATACATGATTAGATCTGTTCTTTCATCCATATTTTACTTTGCCGTGACATGTAGATTCCCAAGCCGCCCAAAATGCTATCTGAATCACTAAGAAATGGAAGGAGTGAGAAGGGAGATTTTTTACGTGAATCACTTCAGTTATTTCTATTGTAAAAAGTTGTTCAATTGGTGCTGATTTTTCATAACATTTAAGGTGCTGAGATTTTCTATTGTTGGAAAAACAGATAGGTTACTGGGGATTGGTGGATTTGAATGTTTTTTATATAAAGTTAAGCTTAATTGTCATTTCCGTTTTACATATAATTTTGTCTTTGTTTTCTGAAAATAAGTTAATAACGTATTTTCATTTGTTTGGAATGGAAGCTATTCTGCCCTGAGTGCGTTCGTATGCTTTATCGGAATACATTTTTGAAAACGGTGGGGAGAAATCTTTTTTCTCCTAGGAATGATATATGTTCTTCTTCTATTTATTTAAAAAGCGTGTGAATGATTTTATGTTATTATAAATATACAATGCAGTATTTGAATGTCGAATGGTAGATTGAGGCATTGTTTGGAACTACTCTTACCATCTTTTCTGTTGCTTTCGTGTAACATGTTTTATATATGACTACTTTTGAAACAAGCTGAATCCTAATAGTCGGGGTAAGGCTAATGATGATGACTTCGCATTTTGAAACATTTTTGTTATTCTAACCCACCCAGGAGCCAGTTAAATAAATATTTGATCGTTTGTTCTATCTTTTGCTTAAAATTATTTTTGAAGGTAGAAATATGCAACGTTTTTACCTTTTATCTCTTCTTCTTTGGAAAATCTTTCAGGAATTATGTAACCAACTTTATTGTGTGCAATAATTTTTGTATTTGTAGAACTTAGAACCTTAGTAATTTTGACCTACCCCTTTTTCATGTAATCTTTCAATTCTACATACTTGGCTTATTGATTCATTTCTGCCATTTATTGTACTTGCATAAACCATATAGTCATTGAATAGGTGTTACTCCCTCCCATCTTCCAACTAATATAATTATTTCTTATTCTATTTGCGGTACTTCTATGATCAGTATTTTGTTTGTCATTTGAAATTTTATTTTTATCATTCCGTATTGACCATGCTGTTTTTCAAAGCTTGAAGCTGGTTTTAATTCTAGAACCTACCTCATGCATGTTGCTGTTGTAGGGTTTAGAAGGAATATATGATTTTTAAGTGGACTTGGTAATCTCTTCATCTTTTCTCTGTTTCGCTTGCAGCATATTTCTTGGAGGCTTATCGTCCTGTAAGGAAAGGAGACCTTTTTCTTGTTAGAGGTGGCATGAGAAGTGTAGAGTTCAAAATCATAGAGACCGACCCACCTGAGTACTGTGTAGTTGCTCCTGATACTGAGATATACTGTGAGGGTGAGCCTGTTAAAAGGGAAGATGAAAATAGGCTGGACGAAGTGGGCTATGATGATGTTGGCGGTGTTAGAAAACAGATGGCTCAAATCAGAGAACTAGTAGAACTTCCTCTTAGACATCCTCAACTCTTCAAATCTATTGGTGTCAAACCACCAAAAGGCATCTTGCTCTATGGACCTCCAGGTTCTGGCAAGACATTAATAGCCAGAGCCGTCGCAAATGAGACCGGGGCCTTCTTCTTTTGCATTAATGGCCCTGAGATAATGTCAAAACTAGCTGGAGAGAGTGAGAGCAATCTCAGAAAGGCTTTTGAAGAAGCGGAGAAGAATGCTCCGTCTATTATATTTATTGATGAAATAGATTCAATCGCTCCCAAGAGGGAAAAAACTCACGGTGAAGTTGAGAGGCGGATTGTTTCACAGCTTCTGACGTTAATGGATGGCCTTAAATCTCGAGCACACGTAATTGTTATTGGAGCTACAAATAGGCCAAACAGCATTGATCCTGCACTTAGAAGATTTGGTAGGTTCGACAGGGAAATTGACATTGGAGTGCCTGATGAAGTTGGACGCCTTGAAGTCCTTCGGATTCACACAAAGAATATGAAGCTGTCCGAAGATGTAAATCACCTACCATAACCACCTTCACTGATTTTTTTCATTTATCAGTATTCATCTTATGTTTTCTTATTCTTCAACGTAGGTTGATCTTGAAAGGATTGCCAAAGATACTCATGGATATGTTGGGGCTGATCTCGCCGCACTTTGTACTGAAGCTGCTTTGCAATGTATCCGGGAGAAAATGGACGTTATTGATTTGGAAGATGAATCAATAGACGCTGAGGTGCTTAACTCTATGGCTGTCACAAATGAGCACTTCAAAACAGCTCTTGGATCTAGCAATCCATCTGCACTCCGGGAAACAGTAATTTCTTACTATTGATATTCTTATTAAGGCTTCGTTTGGGAAAGCTTTCTTCCTGTTTCTTAAAGCAGTTTTTTAGTATAAAAATTAAGAAACAGTAAGCCCGTCCCAAACGAAGCCTAAATTGCTGTGCTTGGACAAGGATTAATTTCCTTCATCTTCAACCTTTGTTATCTTGGTTGGTAGGTGGTTGAAGTTCCTAATGTCAGCTGGGATGATATCGGTGGGCTGGAGAATGTCAAGAGGGAGCTGCAAGAGGTATCAAGTAGAGAATATGCATCCGTTTGATTTGCTTTATTTTTTTTTAAAAAAAAAAAACTCGCAGCTAGTTACTGGTGCTCGATATATCTATCTTGTAGACTGTACAGTATCCCGTTGAACACCCCGAGAAATTTGAGAAATTTGGGATGTCCCCTTCAAAAGGAGTGTTGTTCTATGGTCCTCCAGGTTGCGGTAAAACTCTGCTTGCAAAGGCAATTGCTAATGAATGCCAAGCCAACTTCATCAGCGTCAAAGGTCCTGAGCTCCTAACCATGTGGTTTGGTGAGAGCGAGGCCAATGTCAGAGAGATCTTTGATAAGGCCCGGCAATCCGCACCTTGCGTTCTTTTCTTTGACGAGCTCGACTCAATTGCTACTCAGGTTGTCATTGATTTATGGTTTCGTTTGGTACGACTTTTTTATTGCTTCTGTTTTAAGCAGCAATAAAAAAACCGTCCCAAACGAAGTCTATATTTTTTTTATTTATGCGCTTCTTAGTTGGGATATTGGTATTCAAAGATTGATTTCCTTGTTATTCACAGAGAGGTAGCAGTGTTGGTGATGCCGGAGGTGCTGCAGATAGAGTTCTCAATCAGCTTTTGACAGAGATGGATGGAATGTCTGCGAAGAAAACCGTCTTCATTATTGGTGCTACCAACAGACCTGACATCATAGATCCCGCATTGCTCAGGCCAGGCCGTCTTGATCAGTTAATTTATATTCCACTTCCAGATGATGCTTCTCGTCACCAGATTTTTAAAGCTTGTCTAAGGAAGTCCCCTGTATCCAAAGATGTTGACATATGGGCCCTTGCTAAGTATACCCAGGGCTTCAGTGGTGCAGATATTACCGAGATTTGCCAGCGTGCTTGTAAATATGCCATCAGGGAAAATATTGAGAAGGTATACCCTATACTTGCCATCTATCTCTTCTAGGGGTGTTAAAACGGGTTGATGGGTCGGGTTTGAGTTGAAACGGGTCAACCTGAACACGATCCGATTTTACAAACGGATCGGGATTTCTAACCCGGACCGACCCATGCGGGTTGTTGGATTGACCCGACCTGACTCATGACCCGTTTGCAAAATGCCAATCTGAAGCTGCTGACCAGGTGCAAGACCAGTGGTCCAGCGGGGGGCCAGGGCGGGGGCGACTGGGCGAGACCAACTTACCAGGTGAGGCTGCGATCTTGCGGACCCGAGTCGCGAGGCCAGTGGCGTGAGCGATCTTGCGGCGTTCGGGCTAAGCTAGCTCGAGATAGGGCCGGAAACGCGGCTAGGCAGGAGCTCGTAGCCTCGCACCCCGCTGTAAAAGCCGCAAAACTGGGCTAGGTTGCACGGGATCCTGGTTAAACGGGTCGACCTACGAGTTGTCGGGTCAACCCGAATCTGACCTGTTTTTCAAACGGGTCGTAAATTCAAATCCGGACCGACCCTTTTCACAAATGTGTTGACCCGATTCCGGATTTTTTGGGTCTGATTCGGATCGGATTTTCGGGTCGTGTCGACACCCCTAATTTCTTCATATCATTTGAACAATAGGACTTTGTCACTACCTGTATACTTCTTGACTTTTGAAATGCTTGGTATTGCTTAATCTTTACCTGTCTCTTGATTCTTCCCTTAGGACATCGAGAGGGAGAGGAGGGGCAGAGAGAACCCAGAAGCCATGGAAGAAGACGAAGGCGACGAAGTGGCTGAGATCAAAGCCGCCCACTTCGAAGAATCAATGAAATATGCTCGCCGGAGTGTGAGTGATGCCGACATTCGCAAGTACCAAGCATTCGCACAGACTCTGCAGCAGTCGAGGGGTTTCGGGAGCGAGTTTCGCTTTGCAGAGCGATCTGATGCTGCAGCTGCTGCGGGATCTGACCCATTCGCGGCTTCCGGTGCAGCTGCAGATGACGATGACTTATACAACTAAATATATTTTGCTTTTGCATATCTGCTCTGCATGGGCTTGAGATTTTCTTCTTCACAGGTACTTCGTTTGTTTCATCCCTCCAAAGAAGAATGCAGTGTTGGAAGTGGGAACTTTTACTTCATATTTACTCCTTCAGCTGCCGACTTATTTATTATCCTTGTTATATGATGTAACATTCACCTTTCATACCATTATTTCTTTGTGATTGTTATCATAGCTCCAAAGATTAAAATTTAGCTCATATCATCCTATTAGTATCACTTTAAAATGGTTTTTTTTTTGTGGCAGAACTAATTGACCGAGGATTGTATATTCTAAGCAAATTGGACATACTCTTGAGCATTTGAATTAATTATTCTGTGCGGGCGTTAAATGTTGCCTGGAGATCAACCAGAATGAGCCATGTCATCCCTTCGCTCGGTACCATGGTGTAATCTGGTTGGTCTTCGGACGGCATTCTGCGTTCGGTCTCTATATAGAATAATTTCTAGAGCATTAGGACAGATTCTCAAAATTTCGGTTTTATTTTATTAAATAAAATTTTTTTGTTTGGTTTGTATTATTTGATGTAAGAAGTGTTAAATTCTCTACTTCTCTATCATATTCTAAGCAAATTAGCAGAAATATGGATTTTCATGTATGGTAAAATATGGTAGTATCTGTGAAAGGCTTTTCATTGCTTTTTAAAGCACCAATGAAAGCTAAATTTCAGAAGATATAATATTTTTTTAATATAAAATTTTGTAGGATATAATTTTTCAGAATGATTATGCTATATAAGATATTTTGGTCACATATAATATTTTTTAGTTATATAAAACAGTTTAATATGAATACACAATAGTTTAAAAAAAATCGCCAGTCTGAAGATTTGTAAGGGGGTGGTTGTGTCCAGTCATCATAAAAAGTCCCATCTTAGGGATGTACATTATATTTCATAATATTTGAGAGTAACCTCTTCTAAAAAGAGAGGATTGATGTCTCAAATTCAAGAAGAAAACAAAAGTGGTATGAGGCGAAAAATCCTAGCCGCTCTATGTTCCCTTCGGCGCGATTCCCTTCTAAGGATCTGGCTCCGGCACCTTGCAGGAGTCCAGTTTCTCCTCTTTCACCATGGATTCCTCCCTCTCTCGACATGATTTTCCCCCTCCGCCTTCCTCTTCTACCTCCCCCACTAATAAAGTGGTGGCTCCAGAAAACCCTATTGCTTATCTCCCGATTTCCTTCTTGGATACTCCTAAAGAGATTGTTCCCTTCAACAAAGAAAAGATAGCAGCTGCTGCTCAGGAATGGGATCACTGTTTGGTCGGTTACTCTCTTGGTAAGCGCCCTTATTATGAGTCTCTGCTAGCTGCGACTAAAAGAGTTTGAAAACTAAAAGGTAATTTCCAACTGATAGCTTAGCGATGGCCTTTTCCTTTTTAAATTCACGGTGATGGAAGATTTTGATATGGTTTGGTCAAAAGGAGCTTGATATTTCTTAGGAAAACCTTTTATTTTTAAAAAATGGACACCTCTGTTTCAGCCTACTAGGGAAAAAATTTCCTTGGTCCCTATCCGGGTAAAGATTATTGATCTACCTCTTGTCTGCTAAAATTCTGATGGGATATCAAGGATCACTTCCAAAATTGGCATACCTATAGCGGTTGATGCCTTAATTGCGGCAAAAAACCAGACTGACTTACGCTCAAATATGTATCCAAGTTTCTTCCTTGTCTAAATTTCTGGATTTCATACCTATCTCTTTGGAAGATAAAGTCATCCACCTCAAGGTGCAATACGAGTGGAAGTCGGAGTTGTGCTCTCACCTTAACTCTATTGCTCACACATCTTCTGCATGTTCCTCCAATCCCACACCTAATCCTCCCAATTTGCCTCCTAACAGAGGCCGCAGCTTCTCCCGATAGCCACGGAACAGAACCCAATCAAGACCCCCAACGCCTAAAAACCAGTTTGGAAAAAATTCAATATAAACACCTTCCACATCTATCACCAAATCTCCACAGAAAATCCCCTCATCCCCTCAACCACTAAACTTCCCTAGACAAGACACTTTTCCCAATCCCTCAACATCCTTCACTCCTCCTCAAGTATTACTGAATGAACCTCCCACTATCCCTAACTGTGCTTATGAAACCTCCACCCTTCCCAGCTCTTCCATTAACCCACCCACCATGACTTTTTCCCCTAATTTAAAAACTAATACTATGACCCATCAAACCCACATCACCCGCACCCTTCCCAACCTAAATTCCCCCACCGAGATATCTTCTGATCCTCAGGAAGTGATTCTTGAAACCAGGATACCCTCTAATGAGGCCTCTAAGAATAAAGGAATACAGGATGTGATGCTACAAGAATCTATGATATCCTCAAACAAGGCTTCTAAGAACAAATTTGATGTTCTACAATCCAGTAACATTGAGCAAGACATACTCTCCACGGATACATCTTCATTCTCTAACGAGGAGTTAATTGACAACTCTTCTTTCAAAGACAACACTTCCACTCAATCCAAGTCCACTAGGGAGAAAGCTAAAAACCCCAAAAGTAAAAAAAAAAAATAGATGATCAGTCCATCCATTGCAGCTTGGAATATCAGAGGTTTCTCCTCCTCAGATAAGGTGTTTTGCTGCAAACGTTTAGCCCAATCTCTAGGTCTTGACATGCTTTGTATTCTGGAAAATAGGATCCACCTTTCAGCATTATCTGATTCTTTTTTCTTCAACAGCCACATAATCTTTGATAAGGAAGATAGTTGCAATAATTTTCATTGCTCCAATTCGGGTAGAATTTGTGTGAAATGGTCCAGTGACATGATTGCCTTCAATCCTTCGTTTATTTCCTCTCAGATGATTTATGGCATAGTTAATTTTGCTTCATCTAAGCCTTTTCTCTTATCTATTATCTACACCTCCAATGATCAAGATGAAAGAAAAAAACTTTGGGAGTATTTGAATGTGGTTGCTCCACTGGAAGATATCCCCTGGATTTTAATGGGGAATTTCAATTGCTGTAGATTTCCATCTAACAAGCTTGGGGGTAATTCTTTACATCAAAGTCAACTACATGATTTCAATGCTTCTATTTTTAATTTGAAGCTCAAAGACCTTGCTTCAGTGGGTAATCCGTATACGTGGTTTAACCAAAGGTTGGTTAATCCTATTCACATCAAGCTTGATCGTATGCTTGTTAATGATGAGTGATTAATTTATTTTCCTAACTCTCACTATGTGGTTAAAAGTCCTGCCTGCTCAGACCATTGCCCTATTGTTCTTCAACCTAGGGAAAAAGCCTCCTCTCCACACAGATTCCTTTACAAAAATTACTGGGCAAATATTGTTCAGTTCTGGTAAACTCTTTTCCACATCTTCTCTGCTAACTCTAATGGACATCCTCTGATTGATTTATGTAATAAGCTTAAACGGTTGAAGCTTGCTATCAAAGTAAAAGATTGGGCTAACTCCAACCTGTTGGGTAGACATATGGAGGAGTTACAGGAAAAGCAAGAGTACTTCCTCAAAATCCTGAGTTCGGGTCATGATAATTCGGACATCACTCTTGCTCTAAAAAAAGTCAATAATCAAGTCATGATTGCCAACTCCAATTAGACTTCTTGGGTTATGCAAAGGGCCAAAATGAAATGGATGGCACATGGTGAAGATGACTTAAAGTTTCTTTACTCTAGAATACATATCAGATAGAATTATAAAAAAATGGCTCTCTCTTACCACTTCTACGGGTTCATCTACCTATACTAATGCTGTTAATGCCACTATAAATCACTATCAAGCTCTATATAACTCCCACACACAACAACATGTGGATATGAGTCTTTTTCCCCCTGGCAACCCTATTCCAAGTGATTTAGCTGAGCTCCTCATCTTGCCTATAACCAATCTTGAAATCAAGAAGGCAATTTTCTTTGGAGCTTCTACTTCTGCTCCAGGACCAGATGGGTTCAACTTTGATTTTTATAAGAAAACATGGCTTATTACAGGCCCCTCCCTTTGCAAAGCTATCAAGGCCTTCTTTCAAAGTGGCTTCATGCCTAGGGTGATTAAGAACACTGCAATCACTCTCATTCCAAAGAAAAGTCATGCTTCATCCTTAGCAGATTTCAGGCCTATCTCACTCTGCAACACCATCTATAAAATCATTACCAAAATTTTGGCAAACAGACTCAAGCCCATTATGCCAATCATTATCAAGGGGAATCAGACTGGGTTAATTCACAAGAGAGTATCCACTGACAACATTATTCTTGTCAAAGAATTGTTATTTCACTCTAGAACTTCCTCCAATTTTAAAATCATGTGTGCCAAATTTGATTTAAATAAAGCTTTTGATAGCGTCTCTAGAGATTTTATATCTGCGAGACTCTTGCAAAAGGGATTTCCTAGCTTATTTATCAAATGGGTTGAAGCTTGTATTAAAGATGTCTGGTTTTTTCTTTGCATTGACATGACTCTTGAAGGTTTCTTCCCTTCTATTGTTGGGGTTAGGCAAGGGTGTCCCCTTAGCCCGTTACTCTTTAGTGTGGTTATGGATGCTTTTTCTTGCCTATTGGATGGTAGTGACTTCTTCCAAGTTCCTCAAGTTGGTAATATTCGCATTTCTCATCTTTTATATGCTGACGATCTTCTCATTTTTGGCAAAGCTGATGTGCAAAATAGTGATAAGTTGGTCCAGCTTTTGGATATATTTTCTGCTATCACTGGCCTCTACATTAATTATGATAAAAGCTCTATTATTCTCCCTCCGAATTGCCCCAATGTTGATGCCATTTGCTCCTCTCAAAATTCCCAACCATTCTAAATGCATTAAATATCTAGGCATCCCGATCTCCCCTTATAATTTTAAAGTGGCAGATTTTTCTGGGTTGATGGAAGTTATTTGTCACAAATTGTCAGGTTGGAAGGAAAAATCGCTTTCCCTTGCTGGACGTTTGCAGTATCTTCGCTTTACTATCTGGAATACAATCGCTTATTGGATTAGAGGTGCGATTATACCTAAAACCATTTTTAAGCAAATTGATAAACTTTGTGCAAAGTTTCTCTACTTTGGTGATACGTCCCTTAAGAAATTACATATTATTTCTTGGAAAAATACCTGCAAACCTAAACAACATGGTGGTTTGGGCACCCCATCTTTACAATTTCTACAATTTGGCTATAATTGTTCACTAATTATTAGAATGTATAACCACACAAACCTCCTTTCAAATTGGCTTTTGTCTAAATTCATTTCTCCTTGGAAG